GGTGTCCTGGAACTCATGAGAGTTGATTGTTAAAATTTCAGGAGTTTTGTGAGAAGATTTTTAATGTTTGTGTAGCCTGAAATAAACCATGCTGGGACTATTTGCACCATGGATACTGACAAATGCTACAAATTAGGGCATTCTCTCACCTTCAGTCCTCAGAGAGTCATCAACTACCACACCAATGAAAAAGACCATCTCTTCTGCACTGCCCTAGTTTCATCTCTGTCATAAATCCTGTCCATTCACCTTTAGACTTATTTCTATGTTATGTTTTCTGTATCATTCTTTTCTTTGTCTATCCCCATGTCAAAACCATACTGCCTTATATTTTTTTAAAGATTATTTATTTATTTGAGAGAGAGGGAGTGAGCGAGCACAAGTGAGGTGAAGGGCAGAGGGAGAAGCAGACTCCCTGCTGAGCAGAGAGCCAGACAGGGGATTCTATCCTGGGACTCCGGGATCATGACCTGAGCCCAAGGCAGATGCTTAACCGATTGAGCCACCCAGGTGCCCACCATACTGCCTTATAAACTATAGCTTTATAGTAAGTCTTGATATCTGGTAGAGCAAGTCCTCTCACCTCCTAAGAGTATCTTGCTCATTCTTGGCTTTTTTTTTTTTTTTTTTTTTTTTAAGATTCATGAGAGAGAGAGAGCACAAGCAGGGGAAGAGGCAGAGGGAAAGATAAAAGCAGACTCTGCGCCAAGCCAGTTGCCCAACATGGGGCTCGATCCCAGGACCTGGAGACCGTGACACGAGCCGAAGGCAGATGCTCAACCATCTGAGCCACCCAGGCACCCCTCATTCTTGGCTCTTAACACTTAAGTTTTTAGAATCAGCTTACTGAGTTTTTAAGAAAAATCTGTTGAAATCTGTCATTTACCTTTGGCCTCAGTGTTTCTTGCTTTGCAGAACTTTATTTTTAATGAAATAAAGTTTATCAACCTTTTTCTTTATAGATTCTGGGATTTATGTCATAAGATTAAAATCCAATTTAGTTTTTAAAATTCTCTAGTGCTTTATTCTATCATTTAATGATTTCCTTAATGATTAAAATCCAAAGACTTGAATCTTTGAGCCAACTGGAATTTCTATTATAATAAAGTGTGGAGGTAGGTATCCAACTTTCTTTCTTTCTTTTTCAAGATGGCTAACCTATTATCCCAGTAACAGTTATTGAACAATCCATCTTTCCCTATTGATTTTAAATGTCACCATTATCATATACAAAATTCCTGTATTTGTTTTTTTCTTGGACTGTCTCTTGTTTCATTATCTGTTTATAGTATCACTGTTCCATAGAAATATGTCAGCCACAGATGCAAGCCAAATATAATTAAAAATATCCTAGTATCCACATTAAAAGAGTAAAAAAAAAAAGATATGAAATTATTTTTAATAATATATTTTATTTAATCCACTATAGTCATTGTATCTCTTCAACATGAAATCAATATATAAAAACAAATTTACATTCTTTTTCTCATATAAGGTCTTCGATATGTGGTGTGTATTTTATGCTTACAACACATCTCAGTTGGGACTAGCCATATTTCAAGTATAACTAGCAATGTGTGGTTAGTGGCTACCATATTAGACAGCTGAAGTCACTATTTTTGTTAAGCTCTGTGGCTAATTTAGTTCTACTTGTAAGGGATGGCCCTTCGAGGCTTGTTTCAGTGAGGCGTCTTCACTCATTGGTTGCAACCTCAGCATCTTCTAGCTCTGTGTGACTTTGGGATTTGTTTGGCTTACTGATAAGCAGTATTTTTGCGTTTAATATTCTTTACATATTTTGCAATTTTGGTTTGGGTTTTATCTCCGACCAACAATTGTTTCAAAGATTTTTTAAAATTCTGAGATGGTGGAGTTTTGGAGTTTTAGCTTTCAGTTTTCTGGTTCTATTATTACTTCTTAGTTACGTTGCATTATAAATAAAGTTGTCTGTGCTATACTTTTGAAAATTATTGAAGTTTTCTTGTAGCTTAGAATAGTCCCTGTGATTATACCATTAACCTTTGTAAACAAGGTGTTAATTTTTAGAGTATAAATTGTTGATTGAGTAAATGTTAACAGTTTGAGCATCTGAAATAATTTAAATTTATAAAAATACAATATATATGTATGCACAAGTGTGCGTGTGTGTGTGTGTGTGTGTGTTTACTTTGGGAGCTAGTGTAATATTTCATTTTAAAAATGAGATTTAATGCCAAAAAAAATGTGAAAGTCACTAGCCTACATGACCTCAAAGGCCACCTAGAATGTGTGAAATGTGAGTATAAATTTCTGAAGACCCTAGAGTGACCCGAGGAGAGATGATATCAAAGTGTACCTAAAGGATTCTTTTGTCTCACTTTCCATTCCTTTTCTTTTTTTTTCTCTCTACAGTATGCTAATAAAAAAAAGTCTAGATTACACAGACCCAGGCCAGGTGTTACACCAATCTGTTATCAACAAGTGAGAGCACATCAAACAGTTTTTAACTGGTCTTAGGAAGAGCAAAGGTGAAATGAAAATTTAATTCTCCTGGACCTTGGTTCAAAATGCATGTTTCCATCTGCATTGTAAGGAACAAATTTTAATTAGCTTGATTCCCACTGTTTGACCAGGCATTTGTAATCTTTGTTCACATTTTGGTAACGAAAATTTTGATGAAAGAAATTAGACAAATAATGGAAATCTTGTCTGAGCAGAACAAATTGCAATTATCGAAGATGTTGCAGGATGACTGGCATGCTGCAGCTGGGGAGAGAAGAAAAAAAATCCTTTCCCTAACATGCCCCTGTCCAGCCTGGCACAGCCTCGTGCTGCACACACAGAGAGCATTTCAGAGTGGAAAGAGCTTTAGTGACAGGCAGACCTGAGTTCAAATCCTGCCTCTGACCCTTTCTGGCTGGTCACTTAATCCCCCGATCCTCAATCATTTCGTCTGCAAACAAGATAGTGATATCCTCCTTCTAGCCTCATGAGGATTGAAAGAAATGAATTATGTGAAAATGCCTGGCACACTGAATACTTGTGAGCTTCCCAGCTTGTTTTCTATTGAGAAGAACGAAGTGGGCAGGGCTGGGGATGAGTATATACGCTGCTGCTGCTGGGAAGGTTCTTCCTAGAACTTCTTCTCAGGCTCTCTGAGATAGCAAACAACCAGCACCTTGTGCAAAGCAGGCCATTCAGGACTCTGATGTGCAGTTATGAAAACCCCAAGAGTCCACACTTACCCCGTGCATTCTGTGGGACAGCTTTAAGGCCATGGAGGTCATTTAGCTAAGCACCGTGCACTAATAAGGAAATGAGTTATGAGTTTTCTAGCCAGCAACTAGGTCAAATAGCACACATGGAGGGTTGGTTTGGCAAAACATACTATTGAGGGAGCTGTGGAGAGGTGTCAGAGAAGGAGAAGAGAGAGTTCTTGGCTTTGGAGTTTGTAATTTAATGCAGAGAGCCCAAATAGAGAAAATAACCATAGCTGGGTATGCTGTTCATTGTAAAAATCCAGTGGCCATACAGCACCCCCCTTTTTTTTTTCCTAAACAGTGTCAAAATCAAATATGCCCTAAGGTCCTCAGACCATGTGTCCAGGTTTGGTTCAGAAAATACAATCCTGTATCTCTATGCGTATCATTCAGGACTCATTTCTATAGCACCTCTGGTGATCCCAGAATTCTCTCCCTGTTAGGAGAGTGGATTTAGGGTTTGATAGATCTGGGCTAATTTTCTGGTTCCTCGCTGACTCTTTTATGGTCTTGGTGAAGCACCTATCCTCTGGACACCTCAGTTTCTTCACCTTTTAAACTATCACATCACAGGGTGGTTGCTGTGATATTTTAAGGATGGCTTTTAGCACAGGACCTCAGCTAGACCCTTAGGGTGGACACATAAAGGGGATCTATTTTCTTCCTTCAAGGTGGTGGTTTTCCACCTGGGGAGATTTTGTTCCCCCAAAAGACATTTGGGATGCCTGGAGGAATTTTTGGCCATCACTGTTGGGGGGCGGGCAGAGGGGGAAGGGCTTATAGGTGCTGACCACCCCACAGTGCATAGGACAGCCTTCTGCTCCGTCTCCATTACCTATGATTTTGGAATTAGATGCTGAAATGGGCCCATTAGAGGTTTTCCTCTCTCTGAAGAGAGGGAAAATGTCCTGATCCTTAATGCCATTTTTATGCTGTGTCCCTGTTGGGATGGCCTTGATGTCCTGGCTGCAGCTCGCTGGGAAAGGACACGTCTCCCATGAGGGGCAACCTGGAGGAGTGTGACATCCTTATCCATTCACTCGTCCCCAGTAAAACACTCCCCTTGTTCGCTGTAGGGAGAAGGGCCTGAGCCAAAGAGCGCAACGGAGAGGAGAGAGCCGCTCCACTCCTGTCCCTCCCCAGCAAGGCAGGCTTTGGAGAAAGGCAGGGCTTTTATGGGGCTGCTATTAGCTTGCTTGGGGCTGACTTCGTGAGGCAGCGCACAGCCCAGCGGCTTACTGGGAACACCCCGATTGTCGGAAGGCAGGACACCAGCGCTTGCTGGCTCCCCCAGGGCGGCGGGACGAACTGGCTGGCCGCGGAGACTGGCACCCAGGTTCAGCGGCCCCAAGCTGACAGTGGCATGGCCTTTGAGGGGACAGCTGGGCAGGGGAGGGCAAGTTCGCCTTTGCCAGTCTCGGCCCTGGAGTGCATGCAAGTCGGGGAGCGCACTCCAGCTTCCTCCCGGCCGAGCTACCCCGGAATGCGCGTGGGGGCAGGCGGTCACCGCTGGATCGGCTGTGGCCGCGTAGGCGGCGGGGGAGGTGGGGCCACCAGTTGCCCGGTGCTCCGGAGTCAAGATCTGATTTCCGGACCGTGCCTGCGTGCTGAGTCAAACCCGGCGGCTGGCCTGGGTCTGCCGCGGGGGCCGCCACGCACAGCGAGCCGAGGTTAATGATTAATCTGTGACCCCTGGGCCCCGAGCAGCGGCGCAGCAGGAGGGTGGGTAGGGGCCGGCGAATGGCGGGCAGCCGGGAAGGGGGCGGAGGGCTGCCCGGGAGGGCGCGCTGGGGGCGGGGAGGAGACGGGCCGGCGCTAGGCTGCAGGAGTCACTCCCCGCGCGCGCGGAGATTAGAACCTCCTTCCTCCACTCTCTCCCCGCCTCACTCATACTCACACACCCCAAACTCCACCCCCAGGCACCTCCCTGGCCCCTGCTAGGTTGGGCTACTCGAGGAAGTTTCCGAAAGCACCAGGAATACTAAGTTACTTTTTCCAGGTGATTGCTTGTGAGACCGCGCTGGGCCCACCTTGGTGAGTTGCAGCCCAGAACTCTGGGCTCTGCGGGGAGGAGGAGGACGGGAAGTTGAAAAGGTCTTTGGACCTGGTGGCGTGGCTTTCATCCTCATGGCTTCACACCAGGGCCCCAGCGGTGAGTGCTCCCATATCATCGATCACACCCATGTCCCCGAGTTCGAGGTGGCCACCTGGATCAAAATCACCCTCACCTTGGTGTACCTGGCCATCTTCGTGGTGGGCATTCTGGGGAACAGTGTCACCATTCGGGTCACCCAGGTGCTGCAGAAGAAAGGCTACTTGCAGAAGGAGGTGACGGATCACATGGTGAGCCTGGCTTGCTCGGACATCTTGGTCTTCCTCATCGGCATGCCCATGCAGTTCTACAGCATCATCTGGAACCCCCTGACCATGCCCAGCCATGCCCTGTCCTGTAAGATTCATACTTTCCTCTTTGAGGCCTGCAGCTATGCTACGCTCCTGCACGTGCTGACGCTCAGCTTTGAGCGCTATGTCGCCATCTGCCACCCCTTCAGGTATAAGGCCATGTCGGGGCCCTGCCAGGTGAAGCTACTGATTGGCTTCGTCTGGGTCACCTCCACCCTGGTGGCGTTGCCTTTGCTTTTTGCCAAAGGAGTTGAGTACCCCCTGGTGAAGGTGCCCAATCACCCGGGCCTCTCCTGCAACCACTCCCGCACTCGCCACCACGAGCAACCGGAGACCTCCAACATGTCCATCTGTACCAACCTTTCCAGCCGCTGGACGGTCTTCCAGTCCAGCATCTTCACCGCCTTCATCATCTACCTCTTGGTCCTGGTCTCTGTGGCCTTCATGTGCTGGAGCATGATGCAGGTGCTCATGAGGAGCGGCCAGGGCACGCTGGCCAGGAAGGGACAGCCGGCGCAGCTGCAGAAGTCGGAGAGCGAGGAGAGCAGGACAGCCAGGAGGCAGACCATTATCTTCCTGAGTGAGTCCTGGGTGGAGGGCAACCTGGGAGGTGGCTTCCCCCTCCCCCACCTTGCCACTGCCTGTGCCCCTCCAAAGCACAAGTCTTGCCCTGAAGGTGTACACTTCCCCTTGCTGAGACTGAAGAGACACCGATCTGAACCTCTGAATGTTTCTTTTCTCTGTTTTGGGAACTTGGGTTACAGTGGAAAGAGCACTAGACCAGGAGTCAGCGTCTGGGTACATTCCAGAACAGCCACTCTATGACTCTGGCAAGTCACAAAATATCTTGAGTAAAACGGAGTTAAATATTCTGAGAAATGTGAGGGTCAAATTAGGTAACGGGGGAGAGGTGAAAGTCCTTTGAGAAGGACCAAGTTCTGTGGAGATGAAAGGGAGCATTCTTCTCCAGCCCGTCATTGCCCTGGAGAACCTTCCTCAGGCATTTCAATTTTGTTCCCATTTTTCTCCTCCTTGGGAGAAGCAAGGCTGTCAGGAACATACACTCTCCAGGCTGCCGCTACACTCCCCGGGGAGTGACCTACCCAAGTCCTAAGAAACTGGAGCTCTCAGACACGCACTCCTCAGGGTAGAGCTTGAGTTTCTGCTGCGGTGGTTCTGTTCCTTATCAGAACCGAGAAACACGGCAGGGACTGCCGGCCTGTTTGTCTGATCCAGAAAATCTGGTGTCCCAGATTCCTGGGACTTGATTGATCATCCAGAATACTCAATTCTATGCAGACAAAGCTGTTTGTTTTCCAAACTTTCATTGTGGTGCAAATATTTAAAGTCCGGCCCTTCTATATGTCAGGGAGCAAGGAGCCCACGGTCCACAGGGCCCTTTCCATTGTGGCATCAGGAAAAGGAATAAATCACGTTGCTGTTTGTTTTGGTGTGGGAAACCTGAGTAACCGGTTTCAGGGCCAGGGGGTTGACATGAGAGAAAATTTGAAGGCGCTTGAAGAGGGATGGAAAGAACCTGGTCCCTGGCTTCTGCTGTGTCCGTACAGCTGACTTGACCTTTCTGGGTCAGTGTGAAATGTGAAGAGAGAGTTTGCAATTTCTGGATGCCTACTCGGCATCAGGGGCTATGCTAGGTGGTTTATATTTCCATTTTATAGAGGAGGAATTCGAGGCTTAGAGGCGAGAAGATCTAGTTCAAATAAGTACAGCTCCCACATTTTGACCTCAGTTCTCAGGGCCAGGCGATGAGAGGCTCCCGGTGGCTCGCACAGGCTCATGTTGAAGGGAAAATGAAACAAAACGGGACTTTGACAAGGAAAGTGCTACCTCCATTAGGCTGGTGGTGTTGCTGTGTCCTAGGGCCAGTTTTTGTGGAAGTTGGAGTAAGGAGTCTGTAGCAGGTGTCGACATCTGGGGGACTTGGGAAGGGCACCCAACCCACGCCCTGCTGCCCAGAGTAGTCCAGGAAGGAGTGGAGAGTAGCTTGGCTTGAACATTCATTGAAAAGCTAGTTCCCTCTTCCCCTCCATATACGCTTAGGCATATCTTAAACTTTTAGCAGTGATTGATACGTTAGTGTGAATGAATCCCTCCTCCCTTCCCCTGCCTTTTTTTTTTTTTTTTTTTGAGTACAGTGTACTCTCTCCCACTCTAATTTAGTAATTAAGGTTTCATTTGACTAAGGAAAAATAATTGATTTACCTTTGTTCTCTGTTGGACCAATCTCTGTAGTTTTTTTAATTATTATTATCATTGTTTCTCTGGATAGTGGGTATTTTTTTTTTGTATTTCCCCCAGTGGGTATTGTTCCAGGTTGCAGTCAGTCTTCATTTTGTAGCATCAGATTGGAATGCCACAGACTTTTACTTAGAGATGAATAGGACCTTGGGGATCATCTTATCCAGTTAGCAATTGCTTGGAATGAGTTTGTTCTCCCTGCTGCTCTCATTCTTTCCTTTTAGTTCTCTCCTTCTTTCTTATAACAACTATGTATTAATTGCCCAGGCATAAAAATTGTTGACTGGCAATCAGGTGCTCAGTGTGCTATAATGTCTTGGGGGAATTTACCATTTGTATTTTAGCTCATTTCCTCTGCAGTGGGTTTTCAAAGCAGTTCTTGCAAATGTCCCCCTCTCCCAATGAATTTCAAAGAGCTTTTAAAAATAGGAACCTCACTAATTAACTCAAGTTAGGAAATAAATTAATGGAGTGAAGAGGAAGAAATCATGGCCTGCCTCCATCAGATTAATACAATGCAATTTACTTGCTGGGTTTCATAAAACTTGGGCTTTGGGGCATTTTTAACCCAGAACAACTGAATATATAAGTTGTTTACAAATCACTGAATTTAGTATAGTGGTTTAGCTGTCTTTTTAGCATTTCAGTTAACAGATGTATCAAATTAAAACAAATATTTGCTCCTTTCAAACATATTTTGCATTTAATGTGAAATGTAAATGACGACATAGCACAAGATGTCTTTGGAGCTCTTGAGGCAATAAAAAAACAATTAAGGATTTTCCCCCCTCATTGTTAAAAATGCTAACTTCTGCACAACAGAAGCAAAATTCATAAATCTACCCAAGATGAGGGAGTCTCTGTAGAAAATATTAATTTTCCTTTCTGCATCTTTTGCTATTGTGCCTCAGTCTGGTCAAGGTGCTGGGCTGGGTGGATCGTGAAAACAAATTGGGAAATCAGGGAGAGAAAGAGAGGTGGGGACGCCTCCTGGCTCTTAAGCAGTTTGCAGGAAAAACAACAATAATGTAAAAGTGCACATTCTGGGAAACGTGAGTGTCTCTTGCCTCTCATCAGCTCAGTGAGAAACTGGTACCAGGCTTATTTCCTTTTGCAAGGTTACGGCTAATATGGCCCCGGTAATACTTGCCTGATGCCAAATAGAGGAACCGCTATATTTGGCTCTTTATTCCTTGGATGTTAAGGATATGCAACATAAGCCTTCCTTTCCAGAGGTTTTCCCAGACCTTCCTTTTATCTTTCTGACCCTCACTTGGAGTTATTCACATTTCATGTGGCATCTGGGTCCTTGGACTCCCAGGTTTGTGTCTGTTGCATACCTGGCCTGCTGTCAAACGTCACCCTACTCAAAGTGGAACAACGAAGAAGTTTAAAAGAAGTGTAGTTATATATATATATTTTTTAAGATTTTATTTATTTATTTGTCAGAAAGAGAGAGAGCACAAGCAGGGGGAGCAGCATGCAGAGGGAGAAGTAGGCTCTCTGCTGAGCAAGGAGCCGGATGCGGGACTTGATCCCAGGATACTGGGATCATGACCCGAGCTGAAGGCAGATGCTCCACCAACCGAGCCACCCAGGTATCCCTAGATTACTTTTTTTTTAAATTTTATTTTATTATGTTATGTTAATCACCATACATTCCATCATTAGTTTTTGATGTAGTGATCCATGATTCATTGTTTGCGTATAATACCCAGTGCTCCATTCAATACGTGCCCTCCTTAATACCCATCACCAGGCTAACCCATCCCCCTCTCCCCTCTAGAACCCCCAGTTTGTTTCTCAGAGTCCATAGTCTCTCATGGTTTGTCTCCCCCTCCGATTTCCCCCCCTTCATTTATTCCTTCCTACTATCTTCTTTTTTTTTTCACATATAATGTATTATTTGTATCAGGGGTACAGGTCTGTGATTCATCAGTCTTACACAATTTACAGCGCTCACCATAGCACATACCCTCCCCAGTGTCTATCACCCAGCCACCCCATCCCTCCCACCCCCGACCACTCTAGCAACCCTCAGTTTGTTTCCTGAGATTAAGAATTCCTCATATCAGTGAGATCATATGATACATGTCTTTCTCTGATTGACTTATTTCACAGCATAATACCCTCCAGTTCCATCCACGTCATTGCAAAGGGCAAGATTTCGGTTGTTTGTTTGTTTGTTTTTTTTTTGATGGCTACATAATATTCCATTACATATATATACCACATCTTCTTTATCCATTCATCTGTTGATGGACATCTTGGCTCTTTCCATAGTTTGGCTATTGTGGACATTGCTGCTATAAACATCGGGGTACATGTACCCCTTTGGATCACTACATTTGTATCTTTGGGGTAAATACCCAGGAGTGCAATTGCTGGGTCATAGGGTAGCTCTATTTTCAACTTTTTGAGGAACCTCCATACTGTTTTCCAGAGTGGCTGCACCAACTTGCATTCCCACCAACAGTGTAGGAGGGTTCCCCTTTCTCCGTATCCTCGCCAACATCTGTCGTTTCCTGACTTTTTAATTTTAGCCATTCTGACTGATGTGAGGTGGTATCTCATTGAGGTTTTGATTTGGATTTCCCTGATGCCGAGCGATGTTGAGCACTTTCTCATGTGTCTGTTGGCCATTTGGATGTCTTCTTTGGAAAAAAATGTCTGTTCATGTCTTCTGCCCATTTCTTGATTGGATTATTTGTTCTTTGGGTATTGAGTTTGATAAGTTCTTTATAGATTTTGGATACTAGCCCTTTATCTGATATGTCATTTGCAAATATCTTCTCCCATTCTGTCGGTTATCTTTTGGTTTTGTTGACTGTTTCCTTTGCTGTGCAAAAGCTTTTTATCTTGATAGAAGTGTAGTTTTAATTAGTAACTTTCAAGAGCATAATGTGGTTGGGATGAGGTTACAGTTACCTCCTAGAGATCTGTACGCAGTGATTGGCTTTCCACTGTAGTCATGAAAAAAAAAGTTCTACAGATAATTGTAAAATTACAGAATTAAAGAAACATCATATAAGATTCAGAACTCTGTAATAATTACACCCCTTTGCATTCTGATTTGCTCTCCTGAGTCAGGGAAAGGGGAGTTGAATGTAGGGGCAGAAATTGCAATGTCAACTTGGGCTGCTTATAGGAGAATATCTTGAATATGAACATCATCCATCATGTGTATCTGGGTGGAAAAAAGATTAAGAGTTGCTGCTATAACGGACTGCTCTAAAAAGAAGGTTGATGTGTATTTAGATAGGTGTGGGGTGGCCAGGGAGAAGCAGAGAGAACGAGCCAAGAATTGTATCCTCTGGGTTT